TGGAGAGTATAAATCGTTTATTGATACAGAAATGCTCTTAATACTCGGTCAAATGGATGCACCAACAGAAATATTTGATCACGTATATTTGGGTTCTGAATGGAATGCTAGCAATCTGGAGGAGTTACAAAAAAATGGGTATATCATGCAATATATGATTTCAATATGAGTGTATATGTGTTTATCTATGTTTTTAGTGTACGACATATTTTGAATGTAACACGCGAAATTGATAACTTTTTTCCTGGCATATTTGATTATTTTAATGTCCGGGTTTATGATGATGAAAAAACAAATTTATTAAAACATTGGGATAATACCTACCGTTATATATCACGTGCCAAATCGGAAGGTTCCAAAGTGTTGGTTCATTGTAAGATGGGTGTGAGTCGTTCTGCTTCTGTGGTTATTGCTTACGCCATGAAAGCGTATAATTGGGAGTTTGAACATGCTTTACAACATGTTAAAGAACGTCGTAGTTGTATAAAACCAAACAAGAATTTTTTAAATCAATTAGAGACGTACCGTGGTATGTTGGACGCCATGAAAAACAAAGAAAAATTGCAACGCAGCAAAAGTGAAACAAATCTAAAAAGCACAAAAGATGCACGTTTACTCCCTGGTAGTGAACCTACACCGTTGATACAAGCTCTTAATCAATCGAAGTCAAAGTCAGCTGGGCATGGTGTTAGTGTTGAGGTTGGTGATTGTGAAACTACCGAGGCCAACGAAGTAAATTTGAATTGCGAAAGGATAGCTTATGTTAAAACCCGCCTGCTTTTACGTCGTTCAAATAGCATATCGCCAAAAAGTAGCATACAAAGTCATAATGTTATAGTTATGAAACAGCAAAGTCAGTCGCTAGAAAACTTAACCCCAGAACGAAGCATTGCGGATGAGCCGAAAAATGTGCGTTTTCCGGGAAGCAATGGTGAAAACTATAGCGTTACACAAAATCAAGTATTACATATACAAAAGAAATCGGTAACTATACCTACTAGTGGAGATACAGCACTACCACCAAATTCAGTTCGTACCATTGTTCATGATTTAGAAGCAGTTAAGGATAGACGTAAAACTGTAGACGATCGCAAAGTATTAAATTTGCAATTTGGACGCTCCGTTTCGCATGACGCCGCAACGCGAACGGAAGAGAATTTAAGTAATAACACAGCGCAAGAATCTGCACACACAAATATTACAAAAAGTCCTGTGTGGACATCATCCGCTAAGCTTATAACACAAACGTCGAATTTAAAATTACAGCAATGCGATAAAGAAACGGAAAATATTCATCCTGCATTACGTAAAAACAGTCATGTCAGGAGAAACTCTTCGAGTAGTAATAATGATCCTAGCGCTGATATGTTTTCCTCTCAATTGGATAATGTGTTTGCAAATGAAGAAGAGAAGCGACATAGACGGAAAACCCAATCCTGGGCTGCTACAAGTGGTTCAAGCGGTGGCATAATCCTGGAAAGTAATACATTAATTAATAGTGGTATAGGTATTAAAGCTAAAGGCTCCAACAGCAGTATTGATTCAGCCTCCTCGAGTACTACCTCTACAATATATGAAGGCGTTGTTCGCACACGACCACGTCAACGTGAATTACCATCGCGACATGCATCTTGGGGTTCGGGTGATAATCGCTGTGGCGTGCCCATCCGCAACAGTTCCTGGGGTCCGTATGATACTAATCGCAATACCTTCCAATATGGTGGCACAGCGAATTCTGCCATATTCGAGGGACAAATACATGAACTGAACATGAGTAATAAGACTGTCAACTACAAGGCTACGAATGAACGCCAACAAAACCAACACAGCCACATAGGCACCGTAAAACGGACAAAACAAAAACTAGAGGAATGCACCGTGCAAAAAAAACTTTGCCAAGAAAATGGAGAAAGTGAAAGTGATAGAGTAAGTGAAGAAGCCTTGTCAAGTCCTGTAAATACTACCTCAGTTATAAGTTCGCAAAAGAAAGGCTCGAATTTATATCGCAGCGCCTCAGCAGCTGGTGGTACAGCAAGAACACGTTTTCCACACCGATGTAATAGCGAAGAAATAGTGCCGACTGTAACAGCAGTAGTATTGACGCAAGCTACAACACGCCGTAGCGATGGTAACAAGCCAATACAAAGTGAATTGTTTTCTGCTTCAGCCCCCGAGTCATATACAATGTCAGATATTGAAAATAAAAATCTGTTACCGCAGGAAAATGTTGAAGACTCTTCTGAAGTGTTACTACGCACAAATAATTTACAACAAATTGGTGCAACAGCAGAGGATCAACGTATATCAGGCAATGTGCAAATACTCAAAAAAAGTTTTGAAGCTAAAGCGGGCGGTACTGCAACAACTGCAGCAACTCAAGCAAATCTTACGGCCAGCTCAAAAAAAGGCCATCAATCACTGCCCTCATCACCAGTAGCTCAACACGTAGACCATAGCGGTAATATAAGAACAACAGTAACAATTTCCGTTGCAACAACAACTACGACAACAGCCATAAGTAATGTAGAAGAGACAACAACAGCGGTTCCTACAAAAAATACATCATCCAATTCCTCAAATTCGTCATCATCATCTAGTGTAAGTGACACAAATGAACGCAATGTAAAAGGCTTGGTACATAAATATCAAACGACTACTCCTAGCACAGCAGCTTCCAGCGCATCAAATACACCAGCAATAACAACAGTAGTAGTAAATACATTTAGTAGCACAAAACCACGTCCACGATCCTATTATGAAAATCCTCATTCCCACAGATCGATAATGGGTAAACCACACGATTACAGCGACAGTAGACCACCGCCAGCACCTGCCAAATCAACAGGTTCAACAGCCACTAGCCATATCATGACAGAAAGCATTTTAGCACAACAACATCAACAACAGCAGCGACGACTGCAACATGGCAAAACACATCCACTCGCTAGGCTAAGTTTACCAAAGCAAAGCTTTAATGCAGCCGCTTATAATACGATGTAAACTGTCGTGTTAACGTATATTGTTACCGTAATTGTTATATGCGCGTCCATTATTGCCTACATTAAACATATTTTCGAATATATTCTGTTAGTCAAACAGTAAAATAAGTCAAACAGCCATAGAAACGCACCTAATACATAAATAAATGTAAAATATGTTCGATGCATGTTCGATGTGTCCATTTAAAATAATCATACACATATATCTTTATATACTTATAATAATATATATGCATGCTAGTATATATATATATATATATATCTATATATATGTATATATTTTATAAACATGTAAATGTGTATTTGTTATATACATATATAAATGTGTTCTATATATATATATATCTAGTATGTTTATATATATATGTAGTATATATACTATAGGCACTTTTTCACTTACACATCTGAATACACATATATTTATACATACATTACATACGTACATATATTTATCCATATACTCATATTAGCGCACATAAACACTTAGTTCGATCATGCCAATATCCTTGTTACTCGTTAGGTTAATCAGTTTTATATATGTATTTTCGGTGATTTATTTCTTAGTTTGTGCATTAGAATTTTGTTGTTGTTATTTGTCAGTAACCTGTATTCTATTTTCGTACTTGATTTATATAATTTTATAAATATTATTTTAAACAATTACGTTTGGAAAATTAGAATCAAACTGATATGTATATAGATATATATGAGTGAAATTTTCAAATAAATTAGTTTTGAACAGTTAATTGGTTGCTAAAAAGTAAATAATTTGGTTAAATTGGTTAAAAATATAAATTGGCATATTTTAAATATTATTCAATAGCGTGTTTTTTTTTTCAAATACAAATATACATATTCGTAAAAAACACTTTATATTTTATATAAATATTTATTTATATAAGTATGCTGTTTTAAGTTATAGCCTTAAAACACACAAACTTCATATGCTGTTATATACACAATGTATATAATGCATTACTTTATTGCCTTTTTCATGTTTATAGAAATAATCGTATGCTTAGATATTTATATACTAGGACACTTCTAGAAGTTTAAGAAGTAAACTTTTTTAAAGAAAAAAATATATAAGAAATATTTTCTTTAGTACTCACTTTTAAACTTTTAGTACATGCCTCGTTATTACCGCATTTTTCTCCAAATTCATTGCATTTTACAATTCTTGCTTTTTTACGGTTGAACACAGTTGTTAAAAAATATTAAAATTAAACATTTTAGAGATTAAAAAATTAAAATTTAACTGCCATCGCTGCATAGCTAATGACTACCCCGCACCTGCTTCATTATTTTTCTATAATTAAATACAGTGTCATTTTGTTATTTATAAACAATTTACATTTTATTAAATTCAATATAATCCATACTTATATATTTGTTGTTAATTGTTTTTTTTTTATTTTAAAAACTATTTGACTGTACTTTGTTTTATAACATTAATTAAAATTCTGTAATAGTTTGTTTATTATGTAAAAAATATTACGTAATTATTAGTTTTTATGTTTTTGAATATATATACATTGTATATCTTTATTATTATTATTTAATATGCATATTTTGTTGTACATAATTGTTCTCAGTGATTACTTGTTTTCGACTAAAAATCATTTTCATTTTATAAATGAATGTTTTGACTATTTAAAAATTACTATATATATGAAAAAAATAATGTTTTCTTGTTTAATGATTCATTTAACATTTAGATATTTCATGCACACACATTTTGTAACTAACAAAATTAATTTTGTATATTTTTTTAACTATAATTTTTATAAATATATAAAATTTTGCAGCCTTTTCCGCATGATACGCAAGGTTACATATTCATTCAACAACAACAACAACACTTCCTCCACAAATAACAACAATAACACAAAATAATATATATTTTTAAGATAGATAAAAATTAATGCGCATATGCAATACAAATTAAATATATTAAATTACAAATAACAACTTAAATTAACAAAAATATGAGCCGAGTTAATTTTGCTATTGCTATTTTGCCACTACTTAATAAACTTCACCAACAACAACTACAAATATGGAACTACTGTTTTTTATATATAAAAAAAGAACAACTAAAAATGATATATAAAAGTAAAGTGCATGCGCTTTAATTTTAATTTAATAAATAATTAAATATATATATATATAAAAGTAATGTTTTTTAGTTTATTAAAAATTATTTATTTTTAATATAATTTTTTTTATTCATAGTTTTATTTTTATATAATATAAACTTAAATTATAATAATTATTAATTATATTGCTTATATAATTAATTATAATTGAAAAGAAATTCAATATAAAAAACAAAAACATTTATTTGTATCGCTTTTACCATTGTATTGTATTATTTATATTTGTAAGAATATGTAAAACTATATTTGAATAATGCAAATTTAGCAACAAACAACAACAACAAAATGAAAACAAAAATAACAAATAATTTTTTGTAAATATTGTAAGATTTTTTCTATTTTTATGTTTGTATTGTATTTTAAAAAATATTAAAAATTCATACAGAAAAATATTGAAAAACATTAAAATTATTTTGCACTTGTATAATTAGTGAAAAGATTGTTTAGCTTAGGTCTAATAAGCCGAGAAATATGAAGATACAATATTGTTGCGAAGATACAAATCGATTTAAGTTAACTGAGATAATTTTGAAATATGTCAGTTAGCTAGTAAATAAGTTTTTAAATGTAGTTGGTTAATTTTAAGAGAATAAGGAAGTTGGTTATTTTAAGCAATAAAGTTGTGTGTGTTTCAGAAGATAAATTACGGTTATAATTAATACAAGTTTAATATTATTCACTTATCAGAATCCAGTGTTATCGAACGAAGCGTTTGAATAAACGTAACATTGGTGTCAGAAGTGGGATTCTGATAAATAAAATGGTTAAGCTTGGACAGTTAACCGTAGTGCAATTAAAGCGGCAACTGGAGAAGCTGGGGCTTAGCACAGGTGGTGTTAAGACGGAGTTGCAAGTAAGGCTGCGTGAGGCTTTGGAGGCGAGCGGTATAAATGCGGAAATGGAAGAATTCCCTGAAGAGATAATTGTAGCGGGAGAAGTTAAACAGGTGAGTAATAGTGAAATGATGGAGCTTATGATGAAGATGATGCAGCAGATGAAGGAACATGCAGAGCAGACTTCCACTGAGCTTAAGAAAAACGCAGAGCAGACTTCCACTGAGCTTAAGAAAAACGCAGAGCAGATTTTCTGTGAGTTCAAAGATTTAAAACAAGAGTTGTGGCAACTTGCCGGGATAACAGCAGAGGCGCAAGAAAAGTTGTCGAAAAGGGTTGATGAAACAAACCAGAATATTCAAGTGTTTAATGAGGTGTACCAGTTAGAAAATCGATTGGATGATTTGTCGTCGAATCGTCATTCGTTAGCGAGTGTTCGCCAGACTGGGGAAGTAAAATTAAAACCACCGGTGTTTGGTGGAACCGCGATGTTTGAAGTTTTCCAGTTACAGTTCAAGACTACTGCTGTTGCAAATCGTTGGGGTGAAGATGAGAAAACGGCAGCGCTGATTGTGGCATTAAAGGGCAGCGCGGCAGAGGTGCTACAACAGATTCCTGATAAGGCACGTAGGAATTACCATGAGTTAATTGGCTTATTAAAGCGTAGGTATGGCAACAATTTTATGTCACCGCTACGCAGAGTAGAACTGAAGGCAAGAGTAGAACGGGTTGGCGAGAGTCTTCAGGAATATTCCGCGGATATCGAACGTTTATGCAATTTAGCGTATATTGGCAGTTCTAGTGACTTCATTAAAAAAAATAAAATTGATGTTTTTATTGATGGCATACGTGATCCAGAAACCAGACGGCAGGTGGTAATGTTTCCAAAGCTAACTTACGCTGAAACAGTTGGCAGTGCGTTAACGTACGAGGCTGCCGGTATAATGTGTTGCTTTACAGCAAAAGTACGGATAATGGAAACTGGAGTGGCAGGAAGAAAGACAAGAAGGAAGGCAAAAGAAAAGACAAAAATGAAGGCAGGAAGAAAGACAAAAAAGAAGACAGGAAAGGAGGTAAAAAGAAATAGAGGAAAGAGAAGAAAAGAAAGAAGTATAAGAGAGAAAACAAGAAATAAGATAAGGGGGAGAAGAAGACTGATTCAAATAATGAATAGGGAAAAAAGAAACAGAAAAAAGAGAAGAAAGAAAAGGAGGAAAGACTATTTCGGTTTACATAGTTATGATTTTGTGTTAATGGTTGAGTAACTTGTCTCTGCAAACTCCTTCGGAAGATTTCTATTTGCTTCAACTGGTTTGGAACTGTTTTTGTTTTTATTAACATCTTTTCCTGCTGAGGCATTCCTATCGTTTGTACTATTTGCATTTTCAAGAAGAACAAATTTCTGGCTTGCTCTTAAGAATTGTTCACTTGTTAAGGGGCAATCATTATTTTGAAATATTGTATCTCCTCCATATTGTCTATCCTTAGGAGACACAGACGTTCCATCACCTTTATATTTTAATGTTATACTTTCGGGTTTAGTGGCATTGCCAGATATCGAACTTTCAATCATTTTCACTTGTTTATTAAATGATTATGTATTAAATATCTAGTATACGTCAGGCCAACAATTCTTGTTACAAAACTCGTGTTTTTGGATCCCAATTAGAAGTTTATGTCCCAACGAGAAATTGTTGTTAAGCGTGAATTACGATTTATTATATATAGGAAAACGTGATGGTTGCATTCCGAATGTTATCTTCGGGCTCTATATTCTTGTACACCTTGTCAATGGCACGTTAGCAAATATCTTATTTCCTTATATACTTCTTGATACCCTAAATATTAAAAAATTTTGTTGAAGAAAGTTCGAAACATGTTTTGAAGCAAATAGAAATCTTCCGAAGGAGTTTGCAGAGACAAGTTACTCAACCATTAACACAAAATCATAACTATGTAAACCGAAATAGTCTTTCCTCCTTTTCTTTCTTCTCTTTTTTCTGTTTCTTTTTTCCCTATTCATTATTTGAATCAGTCTTCTTCTCCCCCTTATCTTATTTCTTGTTTTCTCTCTTATACTTCTTTCTTTTCTTCTCTTTCCTCTATTTCTTTTTACCTCCTTTCCTGTCTTCTTTTTTGTCTTTCTTCCTGCCTTCATTTTTGTCTTTTCTTTTGCCTTCCTTCTTGTCTTTCTTCCTCCACAGGTGCTTTTGTTTCCGTAACTCCCGACCTTCCACCGCAATCAGTAACCACTGCAACTTCCTGAATCAGTTGAAATTAACATCTGCTTGGGCGAGCAACAATCCCCATATGTTATATATGTTGAGGGTATTTCATTTGAAGTAGATTTTATGATTGCCCATGGAATTACGTTGGACTTAGGACAACGTATCCTACGGAGCGCGGTAATGGAATGTCCATTGAATACTGGCAGTGAGCATTGCGATAGGGTGAGACAGGTTCGATTGAATCGACGACGACGAATACCGGCAAATTCAGAAGCGATTGTATGGGGAACACTAGACGCGAATAAAAGGACGAACAGATGCTGGATTGTAGAAGCCATGGAAAATGTCGGAGTCGATAATATCGTATTTGCACGAACTTTGGTGCATCCGTTCAGGATTAATCAGGAAATCAAATATGATGCGGAGATCGCAAAGGGCTTGTTGATCGCGAAATTGTCTTATAAAGATATACCGTTAAACGTTGATGCTAACCTCACAGATGATAAGAACGTGACAATTGATGTAAATGTCTTGTTTCATGAGGATACCACAGATGACGTATTGGCTACGGGTAGTGAATTTAATGCTGATGTCAGAGATGTCTTGTTCGTTTCGGACATAAGAAATAATGAGAATAAGATGAAAGTAGTTCATTTGGAACGGTTGGCGCGTTGTCATGAAGATATGGTGACACTTGTTCGGGACGAACAAGTTTAGGTGGAGGGCAGTGTTGCGAAGATACAAATCGATTTAAGTTAACTGAGATAATTTTGAAATATGTCAGTTAGCTAGTAAATAAGTTTTTAAATGTAGTTGGTTAATTTTAAGAGAATAAGGAAGTTGGTTATTTTAAGCAATAAAGTTGTGTGTGTTTCAGAAGATAAATTACGGTTATAATTAATACAAGTTTAATATTATTCACTTATCAGAATCCAGTGTTATCGAACGAAGCGTTTGAATAAACGTAACAATATTATAGTATGAAATACAGTAATCCCCCAATTTAACAAAAGATTTCTTGCACACAGCTCATTCATTAAATCGATGAATACATTACACAAAAAAATTTTTATATACACTAATTCTTTATATTTTATTTTTAAAAAATATAGACACTATTTATGCCTGAAAAATCATAATTTTGGTACTCGTACATTATGGTATATAGAAACCTCGCCATTTGTGTATTTATTTTGGATTTTATTTCGAATATAGAATTCCTTCCATATTTTTTTTTTTTGTAGTATTCGTCAAATCATTGAGTCTTTCATATAACGAATTATGGGTTTAATATTCTATTAACGATAGAATTGGACATTTGTTTAATTGGTCATTTGTTATATTAGATGACTACTATATATATAATTTAAAGGCTAACAGCCCTCGCCTTGATGTCTCTAAAGAAGAAATATACCTTTTTGTCCTAACTCTGTTAGTGTCATCCATGTACTAAACAGTTACTTGGCAGATATATATTCATTAACTTTTAATATGTGCTGCAAGTGTAGCTCTATTCTCCGTGAGTTGGACCATCTCATCTGACACCATAATACGCATACTGATTGAAGTTGATCTGATCTAAGCGTTATTTATGAATAAGTATTAGACTTTTTTCATAAGCTACTCATGCAATGTAGAGTAGAGCACATAGATATAGATTGTATTGAATATTAGATTGATAGATTGTATTGAATAAATCTTAAGTCTAAATTATACCTAACATTATGGCATTTAGTGCTATTATGCTACCATTGAGTGAGTAACCACTTATGGAGAACAATCTATTAAAATTAAGAAATCCCAATATCTCAAAGTAAAAATTTTTTAGGACTTGACTCTTTGTCTGGAAAGTTTTAGCCATCGACATAGCCATTTTCTATCGTTTCTTCATTTTAACAACTTCTACAGTAATCACTGTTTGGGCCACCAAATCTGAACACAACTTTGTTGAAAGGAATGTTAAAAGGCAGTGCTGTTTGGCGTGAACTGGGAAGCTTGGTTATCTTTACCTAGTTGAAATGACTCAGAATATCAAAATCAGATTAGAAAGAAACTAATATAGGAAAACATATAAGTGGTGTATTGAAGCTAGTTTACCATTTTTAATAGATTATAACTTACGTACAGATAAATTTGTAGTCTAATTTTCTCGTTCTAAACGGAAACAGTAATGAAACAAAGCTTTTTTTAGTTCAATAATAAAATAACGCAAGCATTACGTACGTTCTATATTATATCATATAAACACTAAGAAATCTAGTAAGTGACCTTACTTCAAATTTATTGAGTTCATGTTTTAAATGGGTACCATGGAATAAATTAATATGCAAATATTATATATAGTTTGAAAATTCAACTGTAAATTATATCAGATGTACTTATATAAAGGTTGTAAATTGATGGTTAATTGAGGGAAATAGTAAATTATGTCGGAATGGCAGCGAATATTGGTATTTAGCAGAATTTCGAGTAATACGGCGTTTACATTGGCCGAAAATGGCTCATTTTGGTCAAAAATCGAAAATGAGTATCGAATGGCTCATTCTTGCATATAAAATTTCAAGCACAAAATGAGCAATTTTCTCACATTCTGTATGAATGACGTTCGAATGCATTCCACATATGTTCCAAATGCAAAGGAATCTATTGAACATACCCTAAATGAAAGCTCTTCATGGCATTTTGACAGTTTGTAAAAGCTGTTTTGACATATTTACAAAAAAAGATAAACAAAAGTTTAGTAGTTTTATTTCAGTTTGAATTGTTACCATGAGAACGAATGAAATACAACGAATGTAAACACTTTCAAATGAGTCATTCAAAATGAGCCATTTTCGGCCAATGTAAACGCCGTATAAGGTATATTAGATAAAAATTAGGTAAATTAGTTATTACCAAAATTTATAAGATGTTAAATAAATAAATTTGAAAACTTTAAAGCAAAAATAATAAATAAGTGCAATAAATAAATAATTATATATCTTCATAAGTACGAAAAATCTCTAGCAAATATCAATTTACTTTACTTAAATTTACTCGAACTCGCACACGGCCGTATAAAGAAAATTTTGGAAATCAGTTATATAGAAGGTACATGTGTACCACATTGAACGATAGTATTTTTACTTGAGTTTAATTACTTTTATTATCTGATTATTATCTGACGTATTTTAAATGTTTTATATAGGCGATTAAAACCTGATCGAACCATATTTATGGCTAATTTATTTATCTCTAACTGAGTAATGATAATTTTGTGGCTTATCTTCACCTAATCCCAAACACCTGCAACAAATATTTGTAAATGAATATTTACAAACATTTTGAAACACATTTTAGTTAAATTATATCAAAATATTTTTTCGCTGTATTTATTTATTTATATTGAGTTTCAAAATATTATTTTGCATTTTGTAGTTCATTTTTCATAGCCTCAACTGTCAACTGTGGATTGTATTTATTTTTCAAACTTTATTAAACGCAGATAACATTTTAGTGCAAAATATTGCGACCTTTGAACCAACTGAACATACCTTGCAAGTCAATGTTGTACTTTTATTTTTAAAGCACACAAAAACTGTTATTGCAAATTCTAAATGTATTAGTTTTTTAATATATAACAAAAGATAAATAAAATCTGCTTAAACATAAATAATATTAAATATTTAAATATTTAAAGTAATAATAAATATTACTAATAAGTGAATATGCACCATATATGTATGTTTCATTGTTTTAAGCTACATAAAACAGTAAACTGATAAATAATCTTTTCTCTTGTCAAATATGCAATATACATACAAATAATAGCAATAATTAATTTATGTTAGATATATTATTGTATTGAAAAAAGTTTCATAAGCTTATGTGTGATTACCTTATATCGCTATTTCGTGTTTGTCACTGTACGGAGCAAAAATTTACGATATGTTAGCAACACTGTTTTTAAGCTCTTCGCACGAAGTGTCAAATTTTTTTACATTCATTATTTTCCTTTTGTGCGAAAAAGGTTTTTTGCTACAAGTTTTCATTTTTCGGGCGAAAAATTTAGCAAATTTTTTGATACATTTTGTACTATATTTAAGTTGAAATATCAGTTATAAGCGCAAATGTATTAAATGTGAAGTGTTAAATATCTTAATAGAAATAATTGGTGTGCTAAAAATTGTGAGAGAATTTTTTTTTAGGAAAGTACGTGGCATTAATTTTATTAGATATCTTTCTATTTGTATTGGCTTATATCATTTTAAAATAATTTCTCTGTTTTGTGATGTGTTTGCATTTATATTCCCAGAAATTTATTCCGTTTTGATAGAGCGAGTTCATCCAATCAACTAACGTATTGCAATCATGAGTGAAAACAATGCGAAGGCAACACCCGAGAAAAAAGATCCTGAAATGAAAGGTTGGTTGCTTAAATGGACTAATTATATTAAAGGTTACCAAAGACGCTGGTTCGTCCTCTCAAATGGTGTGTTAAGTTATTATCGCAATCAGGCCGAAATAAATCATACTTGTCGTGGCACAATTTCATTGCATGGTGCACTTATACACACGGTCGATTCGTGTACATTCGCCATATCGAACGGTGGCACACAAACTTTTCACATAAAAGCTGGTAACGAGGTTGAGCGCCAATCTTGGGTTACAGCGCTTGAATTGGCCAAAGCGAAAGCTATACGTGCGATGGAGAGCGAGGAGGAGGAAGAAGAAGAGACCGCGCAAGTGGTGCCAAGTGAGGAACTAAATACAGTGGTGCGTGATCTAACGGAACGCTTAGAAAATTTACGTACTTGTTATGATCTTATTACTAAACATGGTGTTGCATTGCAGCGCGCCCTCAGTGAATTGGAAACCAACGATCAGGAACAACTATCTAGCCGTACGAAAATCGTTAACGAGCGTGCAACATTATTTCGCATAACATCGAATGCAATGATAAATGCTTGTAACGATTATCTATCAACAGCGGAAACGCAAGGACATAAATGGTCGAAAATGCTGCTGCACGAACGTGAGCAACGACAACGTCTGGAAGATATGGTAGAACAGCTAGCAAAACAACACACGCAGCTAGAGCATGCTGCACAATTAAACGTCCAACAAAACAAAATCATGCCTAGACATGGTAATTCAATTATGACAGTAACGTCAGATGATGAGAACGAGTTTTTCGATGCCGAGGAAAATATGTGCTTTGGTGATGAATTATTGCAAGAGACTGTTGAGGAAGAACCATCTACGAGCAACAGAGATACTGTTGATCGAAGCTCAGTTAACATACCAGAACCGATAACACTAACACCGACAAATAGTATAGTTTTAAGAAAACGTAGAACACGCATACCAGACAAACCAAATTATCCATTAAATTTGTGGTCTTTTATGAAGAATTGTATTGGCAAGGAGTTGTCAAAAATACCTATGCCAGTTAATTTTAATGAGCCTCTTTCAATGCTACAACGACTCGGCGAAGATTATGAATACGCATACTTATTAGATAAGGCGGCACAAACAAACGACAAGTGCGAGCAATTGAGTTATATTGCCGCATTTGCAATTACCAGTTATTCAACAACACGTACAAGTAAGCCCTTCAATCCGCTTCTAGGAGAAACATACGAATGCGATCGCACAGATGATCTCGGCTGGCGCATGATAGCAGAACAAGTATCTCATCATCCACCAATGGCAGCTGTGCATTGTGAAGGCCGTGGATGGAAATGCTGGCAGGAATTTACTATGACAAGTAAATTTCGCGGAAAATATTTACAGGTAAGCAATCTGTTTAATATATAGATTTTGTATAAATATTGTTTAAGGAAAAATATGTTTTTTAACTGAAAAATATTCAATATAACACAAATGAAAGCAATATTTTCATATATATACTTTTATATATATGAAAATTCCCCGTTCATGCAAACGAACCATTAAATTACCTTAGATTAAATGAGCCAAATTGCTGCTAACATATATAGTACTGCGTGTCAAGCTGTATCTTGAAATAGGGTTTGAGAGGTTTTAAGTTTTTCATGTATAAAACTATAAAATGGTGTATAAAAATTCTTTAAAAGATAACACACAAATTAAACACTTATTCATGGGTTCTCATGGGTGAAATAGGAAATGCATGAGTTTGGGTGGAGGCAATTGAAACTATCCTGGGTAGTTAAAGGTAAAGCAATTTTCCACAAAAGTAGAGAAACCGTAGACAGTTAGGGCTCAAAGCCATAAACATGAATCACTTCCAACCAGGACTATACTATCAGCAATAACAAAAATAGTTCACTTACAGTAATAGTGAATAGAATTATTGTACAGCAATAGAATTACTGTACTACAAAGAGCCAGAAAGAATCTAGTACATATTCTTATTTTTACATATTCTATTACTATTCTTTTTTTCTATTCTATTACATATTTACATACATATTCTTTATTTTTTCCTAATTATTCTTTGCAAATATTCTTTTCTTTGTGAGCAAATATAAAAAAAAATTACATATTGTAAGTCAAATATACTTCACAACTCCCAAATTGAATTATATATATGCATTAGATATTTGACTAGTACATCTGTACTCAATCAGCATTAATATTAGGGCTCTCTTTGCTTATTATTGCAACGCAACCCTACAATGGCAAATCAATTATTTTTAAATATTTTTTTTAAATTTTTATTAAATAATATGGTTGTTTGATCTTATCAATTTGTGCTTTAAATTTGTGTGCAAACTATATGGAAAGCGTAAGATTTTTTATATAGGTCTGCAGATACTTTTACTAACACGCGTATGTCTACACTACTATATGTATATATACACAAAGGTACATAATAAAATATATAAATTTGTGCTAATAACTTTTAGTAACTAAGTTCAAAATTTTGCTGTGACTAATTTGCTTACTGAATATTGCGAAATGTTCTGCAGTTAGAACATTTATTTTTTGTTTTTTTGTTTTTGGGTGCTGAACCAATTTATTATCACGTAGGGATTGCAGGATTTCTATTCACTTCCCCTTCTCCTTATATAGTATGTCTATGTTAGCATGTGTGTTCGATATAATTATATTAGCGACACTTAAAATTCCTAAGTCACGCGATTCTGTCAAAGGTTGTAGTTATTAATTGAGTTTGTAGATTTCATTGAAAATAGCCTTGCGTTTATTGATGGCGGCAAAGTTATGCCTAACTCTGACCCTCTAACCCTTTACCCTTCACATGTTTGCTTGCATTCAAATTTTGGGCAGAACAATACTTCACTACGAATATTTTCATATATTTTAAAAGGCTTGACCATGATTAGGCTCAAATATATAAATAAATAAGGATATCAAGAATATGAGGATTTCAAGATGATTTTGATATTCGTATGTAATGTTTATACTAATACATTCCAGTAGACATAATTATATTTTCCTTCTAACACCATCATTCAACTTCGAAAGTTGAATAACAAACTTATCCTCAATAACACTTACAAACTTATGGTTTGAATTCTTAATCGACAAAAATTTTTATCTCAGAATATTGTTTAAGTAATATTTAAGTATATACGGGGTTAATGTATATATCTTTTATAATAAAATTATTTAATTATCAAATATGTTTTCGAATACATCTCTTCTGAAATTGACTTCAAAATATAGAAATAGAATTTTCTACATATACATATGTATGTGTATATGGACTAGACTTTTAGTATTTGTGTGATAACAGTTATAAATATGGATCCAAAACAAAAATAATTATCATTTAGCAAAAAAACAAAAAAAAAAACTAGCCACTTTTACTTGGAAAATAATTTCACGATCGGATTTTTTCTAGAAATATCTATCCTATGATGGGTTTGTTGATTTAGCAGCCCTGCTAGAAGATTGACTAAGATTTCTTCTTATAATGAATCTTGTCGCAGTTGTCAATAAGAAGAAAGTGCTTAACAACATCTTTGTCACTTTTCACTGCATTTCATTTAGCGTCTAACATTAAACAACATATATTTCCGGATAGATAATCTGATTTTGATAGATATCAAAATAAACGATATCCTTAAAATCGATTTTATGGTATATATCTTCTATTTAGTACTGGTAAGTAATTCTAAGTTCGATTTTTAATGATTATGTGTTAAAAACTGTAAGATTAACTAAACCTTGGAATAGCAGCGATAGCTAAGGCTTTTATAAGTTCCAAACCAATTTTTGTCGTTAGCTCTACAGGATTCCTCCTTAGTTGTTTCAATACCTTTGTAGACTTTGTCCATAAAATAAGGCAGTCTGAAATGGAAACTTGCACAAACATGAAAAGCTTTATAACAAAACCTGACA